AATTACAATTAGTTAATTTAATATAATTATTTTTATACTTTATATAGTTAGAAACCTTTATCTTTAAATTGAACATCAATTTATTCATTTGCTACTGGTACAATACTAATTTACATTTTTTAATATCCGTTAATATAAAATCTATTCAACAAATATAGTGTGATATTTGTTGATGTATATGATATAACATGATATAATATATATGATGGATATTATTGTATTGTATCGCATCATATACATGATGTAACAAATATAGTAACAAATAACACATCTAGTATGATATATTATCTAAAGTAATGTTATTTTGTTACGTTTTTTCTTATATTATATAATTAAAGCTTTTAAAGTAGATCTCAAATTTTACTTATTTATCACCATGATATTTATATTAACAAAATTATTTTTTGTATTTTTCATTAAATATTAATTTTTTCGTCAATAGATTGGTAATAACATTTCCAGTATATGTAATAATACAGATTCTTCCTGTATTGATAACCAATGTATGTTTAGTACAACAGACAATCTTGAATTCATATTATTCTATGGAATTATGTGCTTAAGAATTCCAATAATTGAATTTTATACATTTTTTTTAATAAATACAAAGTACATAAAATAAACATTTTATCGAGATATTTAAAAATATATTATATCCCATATTCAAATATATTTATCTTGCTTTATAAGTATCATTTTTTCTTTTTCTGTTGTATCTTATTATTTTGTTTCTCGTGTCAATAAACTGTATGTTATATTTTACTCAACATCGCATTGATCTGGATGGATATTTTGATTTTTGACATTTGTACCTATCAATTTTATACAATGTACTATTTGATTATATCTAATTAATTATGCACAATATTTTATAAAATGTATAAATAGAAAAAGAGTTTTAAAATAGACAATAATATATATTATTGGTAAGTGAAAAAGGAAATCATCCCTTCGAAATAAGGAATTTGAAATATTATATTACGTATTAGATGAATACAAATTTAAAAAACATTTTTTATAAAATAATTTAATTATTCAGCAACATAAATATTAATGAAATTACTTTTTCATGTTATATATTATATTTATCATAGACGCTGCTATAATATTCTTACATTTTATATGATTGAGCTATATTCACTTTCTTAAACATTTTATTAAAGTTCATCCTCTATTAAAATAAGGTTTTGTGAATGCTAATTTTAAAACAATGAAGTTTGTTTTTACTATTATAAATTACGCAATAAATAACTTCTATATTTATTCTTATATTGAATATTTTCTTATATTTAGCAATGGCGGATTTTGAGTAAATAATGTACAAGAAAATATGTAATATTTGAAAGCGTATTAGCTCTTACAAGTCGTATAGAACTTTTAAAATGAATGAACATTCTTCAATGTTTTCTTAATATTAAATATATTTTTCTTTTTTTTTTATTACATCATTATTATTTATTTGAAAATGAATGTTACAATTCATACAATTAAAGCAATTATATCTGCGTAAGCTCATGTTCCTTGAATTTCGTGTACGGGAAAAATGTGATCGTAACCATTGATTTCACTAGTTTTGGTAATCACTCAACACATGTGTGAAATCTAATTGTAGGCATTAAAATCTTTGAAAAAATAATAATTCATTAATCTGAATTGGCAGATGATCCTAAAAATGTTAGATAGTTCATGTATCCGAATATAATGTTAAAAATGTGTGTAAAAATAGTGTAATGAGAATAATGAAATGTATATAAAATGTATGTACCTAATGTAGGTGTTTTTTTTCAATTTGGAAGTAATTTATTTTATTACGATATGAAATTCGATATGGAGTCTTACTTTTAAATGATATTGCTTCTATTTCATAGCGTTAATGTAACTTGATTTTTGTTGATGCATTGCTTGTAATGGGATACAAATAAAGGCTATCATATAAAAATGAAAAGCTATGATAAGATCATTACAATAATGCTTTTAATTCCGTAGTCTATATTTATAAGGTAATTACAGCTGTATCATGTTTGTGCAGTAATTAAATTTAATTAACCAACAACTCCATAGAAACTCAAGAGATATCAAACATAAATTACAATACATTATATTTTGGAAATTGTATTATCTATTGTTCTTATCATAATTGAGAATTAGAATTAAAACACTGATAAAACTTATAGAGTAGAGCAATAAAAAATTAGCATACCGCACTGAAGAAGTGCGAAAGATCACATTCAACAAGATTGCCTTGAAAAATCTATTATTGAACAATAAAAGCAAATAATGTCTCCTACATATTCACTTTACAATGTAATAGTTACTAAAAGCATTAACTTTGTTTGTTCTTATGAAACTCCAGCTAGAATCAAACATCATCGAGAAGCAGAAATACGACGAGATAAAGATTGAGTTACTCAAATATTACTGTTAATAGTATTTTGACTGCAGTAATTGAATTTTATAGATGTATTAGTCAAAAATAATGCCAATTGCTATCACATAAATGAATTATTTCACCGCGCCTACTATTTTGAATGAATAGCAACTCATTATGTAAATTATAGCAATACTATGTAGACCAAAAAAACAAATAGGTTACCATTAGCGAGTAATCTCTTACAATTTGTATAATTTACCTACAAATTAATTATTTGTACATACTTGAATAAATGCTTTGCTTTTTAATCGATTGGATTTCATATTTGAATCGCTATACTTATACAAATTTATGTTTATGCAAAAAATAGAAGATCGCTACAATACTTATTATAGTCGAGAAGTCAGTACTTCACTTTTTTCTAATTCATCATCTCACGATCTATTTAAAACATAATTATTATAGAATTGACGAACCATTTTTTAATTTTTTATATTAGGCATTCATTTTCAAATAAATCTAATATTACAATAAAAGTTTATAAAATTTTGTATATGAGTTTTCTGAAACTATCAAAAATATGAAACAAATTTTTGTGCACGTAACGTAATAAAAACAATAAAATTAATTTTTTTATATTTTAAAGTAATTTTTTTAACAAACAATGCAATAGAAATTAATATTGGAGTATTATAAAAGAAAATATAAATATATCATTGAATTACTGTACAAAATAGTGTATCAAAATATTATTAACGATGAATATAATTCAATATTAAATCAAAATTCATTTTCAATAAGCAACATTTAATTATAGAATTTATTATTGCATAAAATTCAATAACATATATATATATATATATATATATATATTTACTATCTAATTCATATGTATAACATAATAAAATATATAATTATGTATTTAAAATATTGTTTAGACTTGCAAAATTAAATTATATTTTTTTATACAGATTTACTTAAATAAATATCGAGTTTTTACAAAATAGAGTATAAATATATCAAAATCATAAATTCTCATCTTAGATTAAATTCCTTGCATCATAAATAATCAAATTATAAAAATCAAAAGTTTAAAGCCAAGAATTAACTCATTTTCTAAATAAAAAAGAATAATGAAAAATTCAAAGTAAGTAGGACAGAGAGAGAGAGAGAGAGAGAGAGAGAGAGAGAGAGAGAAATAGAATGTGTTCTTGTATCATGCAAAGACAAACGTCGTCGAATTGACATGGAAGATTTGTTAAGGGGATAAACTCTTACTGTACTGTCTCCGAAACTTTGTTGCCTAATGTTGTAAAAGCAATAAATAATGTGCTACTTGGTGTGTCAGTAAAGACATGTATGCATACTTATACACACACACACACACACACACACACACACACACATATATATATACATGAGTATTTTATGATAGAATGTATATAATAGAACAAATTGTATGATATGCTTATATTCATCGTGGTATATCTATGGATTATATTTCTTTTAGCTTATTTATAATAATAATATTTGACAAAAATCCATTAATAATAAAAAGTTATTTTATATTTTAATAGCTTGTAAAACTATACAAAAATATACTTATACCTGTAAAATTTTATTGTAAAGTTTTATTGTATTTTTAAGAGCATAAATGTTTAATACTTGCATTTTACAAATTTATTTCATGTATAAATTTTTTTAATAATTGTGATATCAATTTTACATTATAATTCTAATCATTTTATATTAAATTTTTACAGGAAATAATCTAAAATATTAATGTTAACAGTGTTCGGGCTATTTTAAATAGTTTTATGTTAGTTCTAAAATTTATCTTAAATATATTATTAAGTACAAATTGAATAAATATAAAGATTTGCATACAAATAATAAACATTTGAATGAACGAAATATTTTTATTCAAATAATATGTTCATATGTTGCATGCAAATATAAAATTAAACAAGTCAAATAAAACAAATAATTATTATTTCATTATTTTTTTAATTATATTTTATTATTTTATTATAATTTTACAAATAAATTATATTGTTCCAAAAGGTTTACGAAAATAAATGTTCGAAGTTTTTAATAACAATATGACACTACGTGTTTGAAAAAATGTATGCGCGAATCAATGGAATGTGATAAATTATAAAGTGTAATGGGCAACTTAATATTAATTGATTGTATATAAAAATTAAAAATTTTTAAAACAATCTTCTTTTCCAAGTTAGCTTTAGATTTATTCCTTCAAATAAAACTGCTAATGCATTAAAATATTTGTAATATTTGTAAATTTCTATTCACATTCATAAATATAGAATTATCATTAATTAATTGATATAATTAACTAATAAAATGAACTCACGAAATTTAATTTATAATTTTAACATTAATCGATAATGTAAATGTATACAGATTAATTTATTAATTTAAATATGAATGACAACTTTGTTTAATGATAATATTTTAATTAATAGTAAGTGTACAAAATGAAAAAGAATATCTTTAATATTAACTGATTAACATGATTATTTTACAAGTAATATTATTTCATGGTACTTGATACTCAAATAACAAATGTTCTTTGATTAATTTTGGTCTCGATTTTTAAAACTTACAGCAGCGGCGAGACTGTTGACGAGTGTTCTGGTCTGCCGATTAGCGACTTCGTCGAGGAGCCTGAACATAAACACCAACCGGTGGCCTCTTCCTCCACTCGGCAGCATAAGTCGAGTCGCTCAAGCTTTTCGGGTGGCGGGAGCGGGATCACTCACCAGGGAATTACGCTGAACGGTGCCTCCGGTGTGAATCGTGGTACGTCGCGCAGCCACATGGAGCAAGAGAAACGTATGCGGCGAGAGATCGCCAATAGTAACGAACGCAGACGCATGCAGAGCATTAACGCCGGCTTCCAGTCACTCAGGACCTTACTGCCACACCATGAGGGCGAAAAACTCTCCAAGGTCAGTCACTTTTTTACTGATGGTATTTACTGCCACTAAGCTTTTCGATTTACAAGTACTTATTTATTTAGAGATTATTACTTTTATGTAATACGAGCGAATTGGCTTCTCAATAGTTGCACAAGTATTCAAGAAAAGGTATATATGTCGATCGTGTATTATTATTTTTAAATATCGTGTTTTTATCGTTAATATTTTTATTATTACAACTATTACCATTGTTGTTATTTTTCATTGCCATTTTATTTAGACAGCTAATTACATTTCTTAATTAAAATTGGTTTTTACGCTATTGATGCAAATCTGCCTTAAAAAGTTAAATAAAATTTATATTTTATGAATAATATTATAACCTTGAATGGTAATTTGTATAGTCGAGAATTTTAGTTATTGGTAAACTTTTATTTTAAACGGATAGTTGGATTTTTTCTTATGATATGAAACCTACTAGCCATTCTTCCCTTAGAACTTTCAATCTTGTTAGGTAACTTACCATACGAATATATTATTAAACATAGGCTACATATGTGTACAACAATTATTTTAATCTAAAAAGTTGTACTAATTAAACTACCTTCAAAAAAATATTTATCAGTGTTGAAGGTGGTATTGAATGATTGTAAGTAGCTGATCCTGTGGATAATCTTTTATTATTCTCATGTAATTATTACTTTAGTGGCATTATATTAGAATATCTAATCGCAATCTAAAGTCATGATCTTCGATTACATGAAAGACAGGCTAATGTTGAAAAATGGTATTATTCGACAATCTGATATTTACTTTTTACTTCCAGAGCTTGTAGTTATTTATGAATAAGTACCACGGTTTAACATTTAGTTAATAATATGAATGTATCTGCATGTTTTGTGTGTTTTTTATCGTACAAGATATGAAGTGCGTAATAAACCTTTTTTTCATGCACCGAAATCTTGTACTGCCTTGAATTTATCATAACGTATGTACCGTATGCGTATAGTTACTATAATTATGATTGCGCAGATTCTATGAGGTCGATACACCGCGAGTAATATCATACCAGTCTAATGTTTCTGTGCGCGTACAGAATATTTCTATGCATTACATAAATTTATTAATATAAATGTTAATTTATTAATACTCTTTCTTTTGTTAGTGTCTTATACATAATATAATATTAATTTTCTCGGGCATATTTTTAATTTTATTTATATAGTATAATTGCTATTATATATATGCACATATATTAGAATTTATTCATTATCTTAAATATATGTACAATGGCTTTTCGATTATCGAAGTTTGCTTTAATGGATTCATTGTTTTAAGTGACGATTTAATTGTACCCGAAAATTAATCTGAATCAGTTATGCATTTTTATTTCAGTTTTTATTAACAATCCAGAATAATGTACAATGCAATTTAGTTGAAATAACATTTAAATAAATAAATAATGTTTAATAATGTTCAATAATATTCAATAATTAATTTTAATATTTATATGAATTTATATGTGTGCGTACACGCATGTTTATTTAGGTGCTTCCTGGGGCATATAATAAAGAACCTGATACTACAACTTGATTTAATTTATTTTACTTTCGATTTTTTGTATTTTACAGATCTTTATTTTTAAAAAATGTCGATATCTCTCATACTCTCTTTACTTCATTTTATATTTAAAGTGTGTTTATAATGGTGATGAAAAAAATTAATTTACAAAGTTTTGTATTGTATTTTGTATTGTTGTATATTTTATTGCCATATTATTTTCTAAAACATACGTTACAGCATTATCATATTATAATATTTAAAAATATATAGTATATTACTATAATATTAGTAATGGAAAAATAATTAAATAATTTTAAAAATTATATAAATGAATTTATATAATACATATAATATAATATATATAAAAATATTTATTGGAATTTTATTTGTCAAGAATAAAGCAAACATTAAACTCGTCGGATTGATCAATTTTTTTATTTTGCAAACTTTAAATATACATCAATAATAATAATCCAATAAACATCAATGAAGAGAGAGATCGAGAGAGTGAGAAGAAACAAAAGAGATCCGTCCGTATTGTGATAAAAAGGAATATTGACCTTTATAATAGTGTAAGCTTTGATTAGCATTTAGAGCATAAACATATCATGCGGATATGAGATATGTAAACCTTCTTTGCTTCTTATGTAATTCTCTTCTATTTGTAATTAATTGCTTGGAATCAATTTTTATAATTACTTTTTTTTCTTTTGTTTTAGCTGTAGTTCAGCATGATTCTCTTTCGATCAAATCTATTCAATAGCAATGCTTATATCGCTATTTGTAATAAGCAAGAGTAAATAAAAAAAAAGAAGAGACAGACATTAAAATTTATGGAAGAAAACATAAAAACTGAGAATTAAATTAATTAATGGTTAGCTAGCTATACAGAGTGGTACCGAGTAGTATCAATTCATTTTATCAAATAAATTTAACTAAATTTTCATAACATGAATATAATATAATTTTACTTATAATATTCAAATACCAAATAATATTTTTAATATATTTGCATATATATTCAAATTCAGAAATATATTTTATAAATGTTAGAAACTTGAGTAAAATAGCTGAGACTTAAATGATTTCTCATTTTAAATATTGCTTAAAATTATATCTTTTTAAACACAGTTTTTATACCTAAAAGTTAATCTGATCAACAGAAGATATATACGTTAGAAAGTTTTAGAATCATAATTCTCCTGTGGATAAGATAAGTGTACGTTTCGATGGTTATTGTAGATAAAGAATACAATTATATCTTATTTGAACTATTCTTTTTTAATTTACTAGACGAAAGAACGAAAGAATATACGATCGTTGATTTATTTCATATAAGTTACAAACTTCAAAACATTAACATAAAGAGTTCAGTATGTTAATTGAGAATCAATTTAGCATTCTCAAATAGTCGCTTCCTTATTGGAAAATAATAGAAAAACGTCCCTTTCATTAATACAAATCCTTATGTAAATATTTAAACAGTATATCCACCATTAGTTAAAGTGAATCCTTGTTGTCTCAATATGAAAGTTGTAATTGTTTACTTTTTCATTATACAATCTCAACGATTCTGTGAATGAATAAAAGGTAGAAAGTACAGAGATAAGCAGAGAAATTAAAATGTCGGAAAGGCAAGTATATGGTATATTTTAAGCATTATACGGGTGATGTTAGTCGTTCTCTATCTCTTTCTCTCATAAACTCTTAGTATAAACTCAAGCAACAATATACCGACATACGAACATAAATTTATTTCCTACGTTGCAAAGCACTTCATAGATAAGATTTTTTTATGTGCATTTATACATTAATGACTCATACCTCTTGCTTAAAATTATTTTCAGTTTATAGTGTTACTGTTTGAATAGTTATTGTACTTGTGGTAATACATTATCTTAAGTATATAGTTTACTTTTTAAAGCTTTTCATGAGATGTATTTTTATCTTCCAAACATTGCAAGGGATATTTGTAAATTATAACTTTGAATAATATATTATTAGTTTTTATGTCGTCGATCCTCTTAATTCACACATACATAAATAAATCTGTTAACATTTTTAAATATCTGAATTTTAGTTTGTTTGAAATAACCTACAGATAATTACTATTAAATTTAAAAACATTAATATTGCTAGAAACGAGCTGCTAAAAATATGACTAGGCTAGAATATTATCGAAGTGGAAATAAATTGTAAGCTAATTTTTTATTTATGTTCGATATTATAATAAGTAGAATACTATATATAATAAATAAGTTTTTATGAAAACGCAAATACGTATATCACATGAATAATAACACACAGCAGTGAATCGGTGAGTCTTGTTCAAGGGAAGGTAGAAGATGAACAGGTTAGCACTTCTTGCCTACATTCCTTAACCTTACTAGAATCGTATTATTGTTCACGGATAAATATTATATTCTACGTAGGCACGTGGCCGTTATGTGACATAAAGTAAGCCTTGTCGGCCATTCATACCTTGATATTGTCGTCGTGCAAAAGCCGAACTTCACACAAATACGATTCTGGAAAAGCGTAGGAGGCGGCGTTTTTGCGGTATTAGTCAAGGCTTGGTTTGACGATTCGATTGAGTGAAGCTTTTCACTTAGACTGCCAACTCCTTATTGCTAATAGGGAGGGGGCGTCTCTTGCGATTAGTAATCGCTTGTCTTTCTGTTTATTTAAAAACGTTTTCTTTATTTAAATTCATTTATTTTACAAATTATTGGAAATATGTTTAATTTTAGTTAGCAAGGTGCGTTTTCTTTGTAGATATAATTATTGTAAAATGTAGAAAACAACTATATTGCTTACTTATATCTACGACTTTGGTATAATAGTAAATTTTTTCTAAATGCATATATAACTTTTACTTTGCATCTGTTTAAACAATGTGTCATTATTGAAAATAAATATACCTTTCAAATTATATTATATAAGTGACGACTTAAAAATATCATCACTAAACAATTATCAGTTTTATAAGAGTATGTAAAAAATTCTTTTAATTTAAATAATTATGGCGCTTAATTATAATCAGATTGAACTTTGAATACAATAATAAATACATTAGTTTCTCAATGATAAAAATTGTTTATTTCTTATATAATATGATTATTCATAATATATCTAAAATATCCTGCATCAGAGTAAGTCTAAGATTAGTTTATTGAGCAGATTTGTTACAATAAACAATATTTTTATATATTTATATACACATAAGCAAATCTAAAATTATAATATGAAAATGCCCGCCTTCCTGGTAAATATCCATCCTCATATACACGCACGCGTATGCGAACACAATTTATCTATCTATCTATCCATCTATCTCAAGAAATATTCGCTTAATCTTATCCTAATCTCTGATTTATATATTTAATATAGTGGAAGATCAGACACGTTTGCGGAATTTATATAACAGTGATCGACTTTCTCGTAGCTTTTATGATATAATGGATGAC